AGCGAGGACGCTACTTGGCTGTGGGTACAGCCGCGGGAATGGTCTTTGTATGGGACATCCGGTCGCCCACGTCGAAGAATGCTGAAGTCATCAATCACGTTTCACCAATTCGAATCATTCAAACGGAATCTCCTCAAGTCTCATGCGTCGCTTTGACCTCGCTGTACTTAGTCCATGGTGGAAACGATGGCCTGGTGCAGGCCTGGGATCCCCTTGCCTCCTCGACTCGTCCAATTCGGACCATCAATTCACGGTTTTCTACCCGCGCGCGCCGTCGACTTGTTCAAGCCGAGGCATCAATCCACGGTGTTGGCAACAACTACTATGCCACAGGCGCTATCTGCCTTGATCCCGATCCAACCGTTCTACGGGGCATGGTCGCCCTAGGAACCCACTTGCGCTACTGGTCCTACAGCTCCTCCGGCGCCGATCAATACAAGTCCAGCAAGCGTCGGCTCCGTCGCGGTCTTAGGGGTATCAACTCCACCCCAGAAGGTCAGCGCTTCAACACCAGCGGCCGCGGTGCACTCATGGACTACATCGAAGATGAGAAGGTTGAAATGGAACGCCAAAAGATTGCTGACGAGAAGGAACGTGCTCACCTCAGCCACCGCTTCGGCGTTGACCTTCTCGGCCCAGATGTCGACGAAGAGCAGCTTCTTGCCTACGCTCAACTCCTCAGTCAAGAAGCCTACTCCAGCGAAGCTCACAAACGCGGTGAGGCAATCGAGAGCTCAGCAGTGAGCACCTCGCCCAGCGACACCATTGGGCCAAACGACAGCTCCGTCGCACCCGATGAGCTATCCTCTGCATCGTCGCCTTACGAAGATTTCGCGGATGGCGACCTCGATCCCGATATCGCCGAAGCCATCCGCCTTAGTCTCCTCGAGGACAACAAGCCCGGCACCGACCTGGACACAGACACTGGTCCCTTCGACCCACCCTCCCCATCTCTGTCAGGCCCAGCCGTCCCGGAAAGCAGTCGCCAACAAGAGATCGATGATCTCGAATTCGCAATCCAGCTAAGTCTTGCAGAAGCAGAGAGTCAATCGGGCCAGCACCACCCAACAGAGGAATTCCCGGCACTGTCACCGTGGGCGCAGCCATCTCCTGCTGGGAAGGACAAAGGGAAGGGTCGCGCTTAGCCTAAGCTTTCTGTTGGTGAATGATACGATAGACATATCTATCCATACATTTGTCCTATTTGTTGATATCGTTGTTGTTGTTGTATGTTATCTATTGCCATGTGCTTACACTGTTAATGCTGTGTTGCGTAATACATAACCTGTGTATGGTATATCCGTTAGTTATTCGGTTCATAATTAGTTGAAGAGGTCGAGAAATTACTTTCATGCTTGATATGCTGTAGACTTTCCTTTTAGTTCTGGTTATGTAACACCGTGGTATAATTAAGCTTTTACTGCTAGTTATATCATCGCATTGATGAGTGGGAAGTACTATCCCTTTTTTAGCGAGGAGTTATTTGAAGTTTACTTTAGTCTTCATCAGGGACGAGGATGGAGCCTAATATAAAGTTAAGAGGAGAGGAGCCAATGACTCAGTGGTTGATACGACCAAATCACCTTACGCGAAACCGACTATAAGATACGACTTGAAAAATCACAAGAACAGTTGAGGTAATAGTTCCATTACGGCAAAGCCGTACTACAGAAACAATGCAAAAAGGTATATATACAGCACGTAGATGTATTAAACGTCGTCGAAATCATATCCCGAGTCAAACTGCCCACTGCCACTTGGCTCTATTCAGGGGACCTCACTCTATACACGTGGAACAACCCCTCCATCTTGGGGGCAAAAGGTCATGGTCATAATTGGCAAGAACAGGTTCACCGGGAACAGTATGGGGAAAGAATCTAATCAGAAAAATAGGTGATGCAGAATGTGAAGTGGAAGAACAAAAGGTCTAAGGCAAGCAGATCTACAGCATGAAGACGGCGAACAGAGTGGCACCGGTCAACACACCCATGAAGGGGGCAGACAGGGCGCTGCTTCCCGAGGTAGAAGAGTCGGAGCTGGAGGAGCTGGAGCTGGAGCTAGAGCTCGAGGTGCTGGAGCTGCTGTTCGAGCTGCTGGTGAGGGAAGTGGAGTTGCCGGGGGTGTTGGACTCATCGCTGGACAGGACCTTGTACTTGACGCTGGAGACCTTGTTGCCGTTGTAGTCGTAGATGGTCTGGGGGATGGTGGTGGCAGACACGGCAACGAGGCTGCCGACGGTGGCGTTGGTGTAGCCGTTCTTGATCCAGTCAGCGACCTTGGAGGGAACGGTAGGCAGGTCCCAAGAGTTCAGGAAGGTGTTGTTAGTGATCAGAGAAGAGCTGCAGGTCACAGCCTCCTTGGAGGTCTGGGAAGAGTTGGAGGACTCAATGCTGCTCATGTCCAACTTGTTGTACTGCTTCTGAAGGTTCTCATAGTCGACCAACAAGGTGGCAGTGTCGCTGCTGTTGATGGCCACAAGACCGTAGTCGTTGGCTTCCTGGGTCCACTCGTAGACCAGACCACCGGAGAAGACCTGGTCCATCTCGCTGCCGTAGAGGGCCTGCACCTCGGTGAAGACGCGGGGCTGGACGGCGTTGCAACCGTACTCGGAGAAGAAAACGGGCAGGGAGGCGTTCGAGAAGTCCTCAGTCAGGACGTCGTAGCCGGAATCCTTGTAGGAAGACTCGCCACACCAAGAGTACGAGTTAAGGCCAAAGAAGTCGGAGCGAGAGCTGGTCGAGTTCTCCAGGTTGCACTCGAAGTAGTCAAGGGTGTCCATGAGGATGGGGCGCACATCAGCAGCGGAGTAACCCACAGGGATGGAGCGGTTGACGTTGGTGGAGATGTAGTCCTTCATATCACGGACGACGGCCTGAAAAAAGAATCAGCAAGAAAGCTCAACCACATTACATAGAGACAATGAACATACACGAACGTAAGCAGGAGCCTCATAGACACTCTGCTCGTTGATAACCTCGTTACCGGCAAAGAACCCCAGGGTGTTGGGGAAGTTCTTGAAGGCCTCGATGACACCGAAGACCTGCTCGTAGTAGACCGAGTTGTAGGTGCTCGAAGGGTTGGTGCGGTCAAGCGAGCCACCGGACAGAGGGGAGTTCACGTCGAGAATCATGTAGATACCGGCACCGTTGAAGATGGAGGCACACTTGCTGTGGTCGACATTGGGAGACAGGTTGTACACACGGATAGTGTTGACCTGAACGGTTCCTCGGTTAGCGGGGACAGCAAGAGAGAACCAGTAAAGAGAAATTCCTTACACCCAGGTTCTGCATAAGAGCAGCATCGCGCAAGCAGGCATCTGCATCACTCAGGGGGTCCTCAGTGGCACTGAAGCCAGAAGAACCACCGGGCTGGTAGCTGTTGCGCAAAGGGAGCATTCAGTCAGTATATGGACTCTCCTCACAAAAAGTAATATTTTTGGCAATGAGGGAATGCTTACTCGACACCCAGGATCTGGAAGCGATCGCCAGTCTTGCTGTTGACAAAGTCCTTGCCCTTGACTTCGATGGGAGTGACAGCATTGGCGGTGGTCGCAAAAGCGCAAGCCGCGGCGAACAGTTGAGTGTATGTCTATACCAGACCGTCAGTCAGCAATCGAAGTCTTCCATGGTCGCAAACTGTTACTGTCGGTATAGTACTCACGGGGAACATTTTGCGACGAGTTCAGGAGTGATAGGTATCGACTCTTGAGAAGGCTATATAGTATATAGAGGAAGAAAAAGAGAGGATGGAGTCTTCCACAGGAAGATCCGAAAAAGCAACGATTGGTATAGTAGTATATAAAAAAGAGTGACGTGGGAATAGAATCCCAAAACAAGGCAGCTAATAAGGAAGGAAAGCGCGCGGGGGCAGAGAGGCTGAACAGGGAAGCACGAGAAGAAGAAAGAAGCCGGAGTGAGACATGCTGATGGCTATAAAAAATCAAGGCAGGAGTCGGTCTTTGGTCCTTTACCCCCCCAAAAGGACCCTCAGGGACCAACAGGAGGCAGCCAATCTCCCAGTGATTCGAGATTGATTGAAACGGCCAATGAAGTGGGGGTCGCATAGCACCGCTAATCTCCGCTACTCGCCAATAGCCCCGTTGCTTCAGGTTTAATTGGCCTGCACTCGCCCCATCAGCTCGACGGCGTGCCTCAGACCAGCCAATTTCAGGGCCGATCCTGCTTGTTCCCTTTTCCCTCGTCCCTTAGAGACCCTGTTAGTACTGTTAGTCTGTTAGTACCCTGGCACCCTCACGCTACTAAGAGGGTCACCCAAGATGAAAAGAGGGTGAGCTGATTACGCATGTCGGTCGGCTTGGTTCAATTCCGTTTCGGAGCTGCTTAGTACAGACAAATGTATAACCGTGCACACCACAACTAACGACTAACTGCTAGCTACTTATAAACACATCACCACATAGCTCACCGCTCCCTACACTGCATACATTTCATGTTCGCTTGTTTCACATCAAACAAATCATCGTTTTCGGCTCAAGTGACTCGTGCACTCTCAACTACTACATGTTCGTGCGTCTAAGAATACATACCCGGGTTTTCATCCCATCGTGAGAAAACCTCGGGAAGAAGTTATTACCGGCCCCAGTGACTCGGATCATTTGCCGTCCGTTCAGGCCCGGTTGAGAATGAGAAAATGGTGAGGTGAAGAAACAACACAGTGATGGCGCCGAAAAAATTCCAAAAATGCCCGCCAGGTCGGCGGCCAAGACACAATGCACATATACAGGGAAATCTGGAAAGGAAATGATGCGGAAGTACATGGGTAAACGGAGAGGGGAGAAGCGTGATTGGCAGACGGACATCGATTCCCGATGATTCCGTCACTGCCAGAGGACCAGGCTACGGCCCAGCGTGAACCGGATATTATAGAAGACACACGTTCAAGGCCAAGGTTCTGATGCGGATAAAGGGCGGGTGGGTGAACGGAGCAAGAGGGAGAAAGATGGGGAGGCCGGGGGATCAAAAGTCATGGTGGAATCGAATTTACTCGACTCCGTGGCTCTCCGGGGCGGAGCCCTCGCCGGTGAACGAGCCGAGCTTCAGACCGGAGTCCAGAGCGACCATCTCGGCCAGGATCTCGAGCACCTCCTTGGGCACGGTCTTGTCGTAGATGGAGATCAGGTCCTTAGGCTGGGGGTAGACCTTGAGGGCCTTGTAGAAGCACAGGGCAGCCTCAATGGGTTCTGTAATACGGTTGGTATGTGAATTGCCAATGCATAGAAGGTGTAGGGGACGTGTGCGAAGCGCGTCATGTCGGGGGATGCATACCTTCGGCAACAAGAGACTCTCCCTGAGCAACCTGGCTCATGAAGTAGGCCTCCTTCTCCTCCAGGTCCGTGGGGAAACCCTCATCCTTGGCCTGCTGCACGACCTTCTTGATGACTTCGCGCTGCATGGCACCCTGGGCCTCAGCCTCCTCCTTGACAGCCCTTGCCATGCGGCGGTTGTTCCTCTTGAGAGCTTTGCGGAACTCCGGGTCGGTCTGTCTCTTGTGGTCAAAGTAGACGGCGTAGGCTAGAAAGGGCAATGAAGGCGATCAGCATCTTAGTTGGGACAATTTCGGTATATGGTTCCGTGGATGGCCGGGCTGGTGTCCTTACCCAGAAGGCCGGTGACGATTGTGCCGGCAGTAGCGGCAATCAAGGTCGACGTCCTCATGATGAAGGTTGAGTGGAATGTGAAAATTGGGAAGAGACGGAAGCGGCGAAAGGAAGAGTCCACCAAGAAAAGGGAACTAGACGGCGTCGAAGGGGGGAGGGTACGGGAGAGGATTGAGCTGAAGCAAGACAGGCAAACAAGCGGACGTGAAGAGATGACGGCAATTCTTTTGCTGTCCGGATAATTTTGCCGGGATCATTGTTGTTCCGCCTCGGGGTTTCTGTCCCGCTTGAGCTGCCTCCCATACTCCCCTTCTCTCTATACTTCCTCTCTCTCGCTACATTCCGCCCCTTCCACGAGATTGCAGGCTCAATCTTTTCTTCTCATAGACTCCTTGCCAGTCATGGAGAGCCGTGGCTTGACCCTTCGCAGCAAGTCGCGCCGGCCCCGCCCCCAGATCAGTGCTCCGAAGCCCATATCCGGTCCTTTGCCGACCAGTAATGGCAGTAAGGGTGCCGGCACTCCAGGCCAGAATACTTCCTCTCCCAGCTCGACATCCCTAGACCGAGCCCCTTCGAAGGGCGCGACTTCTGATTTAGTCAAGCGCCGTTATTCCACCCGTTTCAATCAGGTTCCCGACTTCGATGTCAGCGCTCCGCCGGTGCCGGGCCTGCCCAAGGCACCAGCCACGTATGGCGGGCTCAGCCCACCCGAGACGAGTCGCAGACCGTCCACAGAGTCTTCTGGTCCCCCCAAGGTGGACTTGAATGCCCTTCGCGATCCCAGTCTCCCAGTTGACAAGTGTGAGTGACGCCCGACATATGTCCCCGCGGACTCCCCATCCCACGGGTGCTAACGTGGCACCAATCTACGTCAGACGTTGCCAATTTGCTCGCCAATGCCTCGGAAGAGGAAATCGAGGCATTCCAGAAGAGTCTTCGGAAGGTCAAAAACCGAACTTCGACCGATCTGCAGCAAAATGTTTACCAGAACCGCACTCAATTCATCAAGATCAGTAAGGAGGCGGAGAAGCTCAAAGGAGAAATGCGGACCCTCCGCACTCTGATGGCGGAGCTTACCACGGCGCTCGGACAGACCACCATCGGCAACACCCCGAATCCCATGTCCCCCGCCGTTGACGAGTACATGCCGAAACGCAATGCCAACCGCAGTTCTGTGGCTAATCTGGAGAGCATGTGGAACGTCCAGCTCCAGACCCTCTGGAAGACGGTGGAAGGCTCTCAGAAGTTCCTACCGGTGGTTCCCGGTCGACACATCGTGATGGAGACGGGACATTGGGTGGAACTGGACTCTGCAACCTGGAAGCCCAGGCGACCAGTTCACATAGTGCTGCTCAACGACCACCTGCTGATCGCTGCGAAGAAGCGCAAGCGGGTAGACCAGAGCAGCCATCGCGGGCCGGTTCCCACCAAGCTGGTCGCAGAAGAGTGCTGGCCCTTACAAGACGTTGATATGATCGACCTTGGTGCCAATCTCTCCGCGGGGGTCGCTCGAGATGAAGCCGAAGACCGGGGAATAGCAAATGCGATCAACGTCCGCGTCGGCGGAAAACCGTTTACCTATCGCCATGACAAGCGCGACAGCTCGGCTAAAGGGGAGCTGCTCGCGACCTTCCGGAAGACCGTCGAGGATCTCCGACGTACGCTTCGCTCCGAGACCGAGGCCGCAAGCAAGTCCACCGAGTCATTTGGCTACTTGGGCGTCCGGCGCCCCTCCCATTCACCCATGCCTGATCAGTACGACGGCGGCGAGAGCACCCGCGACAAACCGGAGGTGCGTATCGATGTGGACGGAAAGCAACAGAATCTTCGCTGGGTTGACGGGCAGGTGGACGAGCTGGATATTGACATCGCCCTGCAGCGGTTTGAAGAGGCAGTGGCCAACGTCGAGCGGCTTCGCAAGCTCGCCAAGGGCCTGAAGGGCAACGCGATCGCGCAGGACGTGATCAACACGAAGGTCGACGAGCGTGCAGCCACCCTGGCGGAGGTTATCCTGCGAGCGCTCGTGGATACCCACTCGTTTCCTGTATCCACCAAAACCAGAGTCTCCTGGCTCACGCGGTTGGGATTCGAAGATCAAGCCCGGGAAGCTTTTTTGAAAACCCGCTCGGAAATTGTCTCCAAACGGATTCGGTATGTCTCCCCGTACCACTCGCTCACAAGCACGAATAACTAACCTTCTGCAGTGCCTGTGTCTTCGAGGGTGACCTCCCCCTATACATTTTTCAGATCTCCTATGTGTACTTCACGTTGATCAAGAACACTATTAGCATCTACCAACAGTGCTTTCCGCCAGTTATGTCCAGCGCCAGCATCCGCTGGGCAAAACACCACCTCGACGGCTTCAACGCCCTGCTCACCCGCCAACTCAGCAGCGTTCAACGCGGCACGACTGTCTGGCAGAAATGCATTGACATTGTACACGAGCAAGCCGATCAGCTGACCGAGGTGGGCGTTGACTTTACCGATCTCGTCGCAAAGGATTTGGAGACGGGCGAGGAGTTCACCGAACGACCGCAGATGACCCGGTCTGAGTCCCTTATTTCCGGGTTAGCGGACACTGCCGCGGCAGCTGCAATTATCTAAGTGACGCGTGTATATTGGTTTATTTTTCTGTTTATTACCACTAGCCTCAGGAGGCTACATTTGATGATGTGTGTTCTGCGTCGCCTGTTTGTGCACTTTCTCATGCTCAGTCTGTTTGACATGGACCCCACGCGAGTGCTCCAGAATGGCTTTCTTTTTGTGTCTTCTATTCTGTATTCTCTAGATGTTATATCCATACCCATGAACGCCGAGCTAGTCGTGTATATGGCGCTATACCACCGTTCAACGGATTCGTGTATGCCTGCACAAATTCCACCTCTTTTGATTGGAAAACTTGCAATCGGCAAGACTGAGAAAGCACTACAAGCAGAGATATGCAGATGCTTGTCCTTCGAGCTACCTGCACGATGTTACTGAAGCGGGGATAGAGACTAAGATCTCCGAAGTCGGCATCAAGCCAATCCCGGGCACGTGTGATCACGTGAATATAGACTGCTCATTGATGTCTCCCTCGAAGTCGAGCTGCCAACTGACTGATCTCTCCACATTCCTTGTTGGTTGTCAGTGGATGCTACTATTTAGCATGACTCGCTACTTGTCTGAAACAAGTGTGGCTAGTATGCTGACAGCCTTTTCATGGCGGATGACTAGGACGCGATCTGACGTCAGATACCTGAGACGATGGTCTACACGATGGTATCTTCATTACCTGCCCCCAGACACAGCTATTTCATCAGATTCTAGGGGATGAATACTCCCTCTCACCAGCAACTGAATGCACAGCTGATAGCAATTATTTTCCATCAACATGAAGTGGGCATGGCTGGACGCAGTTCCACCTCGGCCCCAAATCTAGAAGCCGAGCGGCGGACCCCAACAGTTTCGGCTACAAAATCCGCGTGAAACTCCGAACGATAAGCAGCGGACGAAGATTATTGCGTGCAGACTCAACAGCAAGTGGGTTCATCCCCTCTATTGGCTCCCTTCTGGGGCTCCTTGCTTCTTTTTTTCGTCTGTCGCTTTTTTATCCGATCTAATCTTTCTCCCTCCCTTCAATCAGTACAATCTCTCCCCCGCGCGACATCAATCAATCAACATGGGACTCACTAATGGTCAATCTATACAAGGGTGAGTATCGCTCCCGAGCCTTTATCCGCGGCTACTTGTAACCCTAAGTAATGCTCACATCCAACGTGGTTCGCGCAGGCAAGATGCGGAGCACCAGGCCCTCCCATTGACGGCCCTTCCCTCTCTGCCCTTGTTCGTGCAGGCAAATGCCTTTGCGCAGAACACTCCCGACAAGATTGCCGTCGTGGACGCCACCAAAGGGCAGGAATTCACCTATGGACAACTGCTAGCCGATGCGGCCGCCCTGAAGAAGGTCATTCTGGAGGAGCTAGGCCTCACCGAAGTCGGAAACCTAGAAGAGCGCCGCATCGCCTTCCTGACGCCCAACGGCTACGACTACGTGGTTACGCAATGGGCCGTCTGGGCCGCGGGGGGTGTCACCGTCCCTCTCTGTATGTCCACAGCACCCCTGCACTATCACAAGCTCCAGACAACTTAATCAGCAATTGCGCCTCACAAAACCATTGACAAACACTAACCTAACCAAACCCAAGGCACCACCCATCCCGTCAAAGAGCTCCTCTACACAATCGGAGACTCCGACCCATCCCTGATCTTCCTGCACCCAACATTCGCGCACTTCGAAACCCCCCTGAAGGAAAGCATCAGCAAACCGATCCCCTTCAAACCCCTCACTCCCCACCAGCAAACCACCACCGCAATCACCCTCCCCACCATCAGCCCAATCTCATTCCTGAACCACCGCGCCCTGATGATCTACACCTCCGGCACAACCAGCAACCCAAAGGGCTGCGTAACCACACACAAGAACATCACCTTCCAAGCACAATGCCTAATCGAAGCGTGGAAATACAACCCCAGTGACCGACTCATCCACGTGCTCCCCCTCCACCACATCCACGGCATCATCAACGGCCTCACAGCCAGTCTCCTCAGCGGCGTCACCGTCGAAATGCACCCGAAATTCGACCCCGCCACGATCTGGACCCGCTGGCGCGAAGGCGGCTCCACCATGTTCATGGCCGTGCCCACCATCTACTCGCGTCTCATCGACTACTTCGAAACCCACCTGCGAGGCACCGAGCACGAAGCCGCCGCCCGCTCCGGCGCCCAGTCCCTCCGTCTTATGGTCAGCGGGTCCGCGGCGCTCCCGACCCCGGTGAAGAGCAAGTTCGCTGCTATCACGGGACAGGTTCTTCTTGAGCGGTTTGGAATGACTGAGATCGGCATGGCGATTAGCTGTGGTTTGGAGACGGAGAAGCGCATTGACGGGAGCGTGGGGTGGCCGTTGCCGGGTGTGCAGGTGCGGTTGACGGATAAGGAGCGTGGGAAGGTGGTTGACGCGGTGGATGAGGATGGGATGATTGAGATTAAGGGTGATAATGTCTTCATTGAGTATTGGCG